TCAAATCGGGAACTCCAAACCTGGCAATCCACTGCGTCACGAGGAGTTGGGCGGAAATATTTTTTATTGGCCAAGTTTCTGGCCAACGAATGAACTGGTCAACGCACATCACGTAACCTACGCGGTAATCGCGTGACGGAGGTAGCGAACCGACCAAATCAATGTAAATATGCCAGAATCGGAGGTCTGGCGGTGCGAAAGGGGCGATCGGAAAAATGGTGCGTCTGTGCAGTGTGCTCCTTACTTCTTTGGCAGTTTAGACAACACCTTGTCTAAGCTCGGATTTTTCGTCACATACCTGGCCAACAATACCGACTAGTCGGTTAGATTAGGTTAGGTCACGTTGATACCTGGATGCGCCTGACTGTGGAGTGCGGTGACAATGTTGCGTCGATGTATGGCTGGCAAGTATATGGGCGGACYATATCGTACGCGGTGTCGACATAGACCTAGGCTAGCCATGTTCGGTTTTCTGAGGTATCAAACAACACGAAGAAGGAACGGAACCGTCTAATAATCTTTGTAAATCCGAATCGAGTGTTTGATCGGCTGCGACTGCCTTAAATTGGGAAGCGTAGTGTTGTTGCATACGACCTCCAATATGGACAGCGCGTCGGGAATTACATTACGGGTACCGTTGATGTGCTCAACAGCGTGAACGAACTCGGCCAAAAAGTTTATCCTGRCGTGACTGTCTATCGCTATGTTTACCTGTTGTTGTTGTAAACATGTACATTGTATACAACAAAGGTTTGTGATCGGTACGAAGGGCGGTCGTCCTGCCCTCGATAGTTTGAAGGAAATGTTTGACAGCTTAATAGGCCGTGAGCAGTTCCCGGTCATAGGTGCTGTAGCGGGTTTGCGCGGACGACAATAATTTACGAGAGAAAAATCCTAACGGTTGCCATATACCGTCCGTACATTGTTCCAGGACCGCTCCTGTCGCCGTGCTAGAAGTGTCGGTGCTCAATCTCAACGGTGTGTCATGTCTCGGATGAACGAGTGTTACCGYGTCTGCTACAGCTTGTTTGCACTTTTCGAAAGCTTAGCGGGCGTCTTGATTCCAAACCAGCGGACATTTTTCTGTATCGCAGACGCGAGCGCGTCTACAACGCGCGGGAATTGTACTTGAGCGGCGTGTGGGATGAMCCATAGATTTTTAAATACTAWTAGTAATTAGGTACCTTTTAGTAATTATCTAATTAAAAATTTCATAAATCGGGATATTAATAGTCATTATTATTAAAAGAGAAAACYGGGGGTGAGCATACTTGATGAAGTACCTCTTTATAGATATATTTACAATGCTAATCCAAATAGTAATGACTAATGGGTTGAAGTGTGATCAAAAATTTAAGTTGCTAAAGATTTGTAACGTGATAACCAGAATTATGAATTATGATTTTAATAATAGCCTATATAACTGCCAACATATTAATCATSGTTGACACCATGTCTAATAAAATGTATATTATGCATCTATACAGCGATGTAATTTTGTAGAACATGCATGTCAAACGTGAATTAGTAACGGGATCAAAAATATTAAATATAATACCTAGCACTTATGCGGACCACACGAAAAATATGTTGAAAAAAAAA